GCCACATTTCTGAAATTCGGTGCCACCACTTATGCAGATCCGCGGGATCAGAGCCCAAAAACACAGAGGATTTGCCTCATTTCTGAAAATCGGTGCCACCCATTACGCAGATCCGCGGGATCAGGGTCCAAACACACAAGGGATTTGCCACATTTCTGAAATTCGGTGCCAACCCTCACGCAGATCCGCGGGGTCGGGGTCCAAAAACACAAGGGATTTGCCACATTTCTGAAATTCGGTGCCACCCCTCACGCAGATCCGCGGGGTCAGGGTCCAAAAACACAAGGGATTTGCCACATTTCTGAAATTCGGTGCCACCCCTCACGCAGATCCGCGGGGTCAGGGTCGGGGTCCAAAAACACAAGGGATTTGCCACATTTCTGAAATTCGGTGCCACCCCTCACGCAGATCCGCCGCGGGATTTGCAGGGTCCAAAAGACAGGGTAGGGATTTGCCACATTTCTGAAATTCGGTGCCACCCCTCACGCAGAGGGTCAGGGATTTGGAAATTCGGTGACGCAGACAGGGAAGGGATTTGGAAATTGCCACCCCTTACGCAGATCCGCGGGGTCAGGGTCCAAAAACACAGGGGATTTGCCACATTTCTGAAATTCGGTGCCACCCTTCACGCACATCCATCGCAAGGCGTGGTAACCCAAACTGCGAGAACTCCCTCGGCCCTTTAATCGCAAGGTGTGGTAACCAAGCCCGTAAACCATACACGTCTTACCAATCGCCAGGTGTGGTAACCCCTCTTGTGATCAGTTGGTTTTGCTGATTGCGAATCGGCTTCGCATGAAGTTTCGATACTGCTTCACGACAGCGCCAAGGCCTCATGACTTAGCTCTTCCATGGCCCATTCTCCGAGAGAGGGGGCCGGCGGCAGGGGGCGAAGCCATTACGGATAACGCAGCTTCGCCAAGCCGAAAGAAATATCTGCACGGGCGCGCGGCGAAAGAAGCCAGCCTCGTCGATCGTCTTAACTTCCGAAACGCCCTTCGAAAGTCCCGAGGAAACCGCGAAGTTGCCTTGCGTCTGGCCAGACCCAGCATGGCAAGCGTGCGCAGCTGGTTCCCCCGGCCCCGCCCGCCGACAGCAAACCGAGGTTAGCCTCTGACAGGCCCGCGGTACTCCGATGCTATATAGAGCCAACCTGGAAGGCAACTCCACTTGGCGCATGGACCACGGCCGAGATCGCTCGGCCGGGGGGGGGGGATGGCGATCTCGACGCCCGCGGGGGGAAGCGGAGGCCCAAGGAGGAACGACGCAAAATATAAACTCCAGCCGAAGGGCCACCTCCTGGCCCAATGGTTCCTGGAATTCAGAAGCTCTTGAAGGCCTGGCTGAGACAGAAAACCGAGACCCTGTCCAGCGCTTCGGGAGTGAAAAATGCATATTCCTGGATGAGAATGATTTCTGCTGAGACGCTGGGCAACCAATCCTTCGCCGACACCCCAAACGGCGCCGTTGACTGAAACGACTCGATGGCGAAACGATTCGGCTTCTGGGGGTGGCGGCGGGGCGAAAGGACCCTGCAACTTGACGCTAGAAAAGCACACGCCAGGAGGGCAGCTCGCCCTCTCTGGCCGCTCCGAAAACCATCGCATCGAAGGTCGATCGACGGGAAACGAAGCACGAGAGGGGGTGACGGAAGCCCCTCGCTCCCCTGCACGCCCAGCTGAAGAAAAGAGGCGGTGGCTCGGTGCGAAATCGTGGACGCCTCCCCCCTCGCGCCGCTGAGTCTTCGGGGGGGGGGGGGGTCCTGATTGTCAAGCTCTTCGTCGCCTGCACGTCCGTCGGGCGCCTTCTCGGCCCCCTCTCACTACTGGACGCGCTGAGCCACTCGAGCAGCCTGTTCACGGACCCTGCTGGGCGAGGTCGTGGCGGGGGCCGGCTCCGGAGGGCCGCCGCCTCCTCCAGCCGCAGAGCTGGCTGCCGCTGCGAAGGGAGCTCCGCCCCCGTCGCCACCTGCGCAGACCTCGCCCGACGGGGCCGCGGCTCCGCTTCCCCGCCATCCGCTGGAGGTAGCTCTCGTGCTCCTTCTTGACAACGCTGGCGCGCTCGATGGCCTGGGCGAAGAGGGCCTTCGCGGCACTGCCGATGTGGTCCTTGAAATCAGTCCTCCTACGCTCAACTTCGGCCAGGTCCGCTTCGTCAATGCCATCGATGTCCACCGAGAATAAGCCTCCGTCGTCAATCGAGATGTTGGCGACCTTGCCGTCGACGAGGTCCTGCAATGACAACCCTGGGCCTTTGTCAACTGGCGCCCCCTTGATTCCAGGGGCCACTGCCGTATGGAGTTTGGCAACCAGCTGCCAATGTTCCTCCACCACGGCCTGGCTCTGCTTGAACATGTCGTGAATCAGAACTTCCTGGGCCCGCACTCCTTCCTGCAACCTTGCGAACTTTGCCAGTTCATGCTCCAAGCGCTGGTCCAGCTTCTTGATACGGTGGTGGACGTCGGAGACCTGGTCCTGGAGCGCTTTGGGGGGAGGTCTCGCCGTCTCCGCCAGCTGGTCCAGCTTGGTCTGATAGCGGGCCGCGGCCTGCTCGTCGCCAATGCGCTTGGAGTGACCATCTGCAGCTCCTTGGCGTCGAGGGGGCCGTCAGTCGCCCCTGCGGCCGCTCCAGGCCCAGGCGTGCGCCCTGGAACCTGTGGCCCAGGAGGGGGGACGGCCCACTCTCCAGGTGGGTGAAACCCTGGAGCGCGAGGAACGCCCTGCTGATGAGCCCACACACCACCAGGAGCGAGAGGATCGCCAGTGGAGGGCGCTTGGCGGGCGGCTCCACAGTACTTGCAATACCAATGCCGTGCAGCCGTCTTGCCGCACCCGCATGAACACACACTTCCTCCGATCGCCGCCCTGCGTCCGGTCGTGCTTGGCGGAGCTGCCCTGGCCCTGCCAGGAGTACGTGTTGTCATATTATTGTCCCCGACTGCTGCTGCTGCTGCTGCGCCATGAAGCGCCCGAGGAGCGCCAGGGCGGGGAGCTGCCGCCGCCACTGCCCGCACCGCCATGGGACATGGGAACTGGATGGGAGAGGGAAAACTGAAATCGAACCCAAAAGTTTGACCCGCAGATACCTTGCCGTTCTGAATAGAAGCATCCGCAAGCGCAACACCTGCGACAAAACGGCTGGAGGAGGAGGAGGAGGAGGAGGAGGAGGAGGAGGAGGAGGAGGAGGAGGGGGAGGAGGAGGAGGAGAAGGAGGCGGGCGCAGACCTGAACGGAGTTGTCCGCCGCGCCCCGACGAGGGTTCTCACCAAACCTCTGGCGCAGCGAGGTGCCTCCGAAGCACCAACGGCGCAGATCGCAAACCACAATCCGGCGAACCCATCGGTCAGAAGGAGTGGCTCTCGGGGATGGACAGAACCCCTTAAGCAAAACGTGGTTTGGTGAAAACGACCTCGGGGCCAAACCTGGCGGGCGCAAGCCTGGAAAATGACGGCCGCGGCGCCCTCTCGAAAACCGAAAAAGGACAATTCACGAATCGACGTGTCAGGGTGCGGGTTCTGTCAGCCCCCGAGGCTAGAAGCATGAAGTAGGAAACCGTTGAAAGCTAATTGGGTGTCCGCTCGCCCGCTAAAGAACAAGGAAACGGGGGAACCGGTCGATGGTTGAAGTAGGAAGGCGCCTGGAGCCAGATTGTTCAATATTCGCGATAACGGGCCTGACCCGGGGAGGGGGGGAGCTCGCCCCATCCCCTCCGATCGCATCACGGCGGGGGGCCGCCGAACATCTTTGGAAATCTTCGAAGAGTCCGCAAGACAAGACAAGACAAGACGCGCACCATCGGCCCGGAGGCCGTCCCGAGACGGGCGGCGCGGGGGCGCCTCGGCGCCTTCAGTTCTTGAAGATCAGGAATGTCTCGGTCGTCTCCAACCAGCGCTTGAGAGCCCGCAGAACTTTGCAAATGTGGGCAACATAGCGTGACGTGATCCGGGGGGACGGTGGGAGGGGGAGGGCCGATCACGGCCGTACTCGCCCAGACCCTTTGAAGAAAACGCCCGGAGGAGATTGGAACGTGGGAATCCACAGCTGCCTGCCTTCAATGACCGATGGGTACGCTGCGCTGAGTAGCGGGGGGGGGGGGGCGCCACCCTCACCGACAGCCCCCAGAGCGACCCCCGCCACGGGCAGACGATCGCCGCGCGACGTCGACCCCCGTCGGCCAACCCGCGAACTGTCTTGCAGAAGCTAAGTAGACCCCCGACCCACGGGCGCGCGGACAGGCTGACCGTCGAATTCCGTCGGGGGCGGAGCCCCGTGTTGTTCAAACGCAGAGCAGCCGCACCCGTGTCGGCTGCACGCAGGCGAGAGACCCTGGGTAATGGGAGGGAGAAAAGGTACGCATACCTCTACCCTTCCCTCGTGTTTCCCATGTTGCGCCTCCTCGGCGACCCTCGTCGCCATCGCCAGATTCGCCTCGAGATCCTGGTTAGGGCGCACCCCAGGAGAGGTCTGGGGAGCAGCAGTACCGGTACCTTTTGTTTTCCCCGGGTAAGAGTGACCTTTGGTGCGCGGCTTGATGGGGGCCGCGGGGGGGGTCAGGGGGCCCGCACCAAAGGTCTCTCCAGCGAAGGTCCGCTCTCACGTGTAGTCGACCGCAGCAGCCTCAGGTCAGGCGTGTCCTCCTACAGGCGGATTTTGGGCGAACAGTGGAAAATAGTCAACAAGTGTTCCAAAACACCGAAAAATTGTCGAAACATCGTCCCCCGACTACTTCTTTATTATTCTTGAGCAGTCCTCCTGTATCGGGAATGGACAGAAACCGCTTTGGTAAAACGTGGTTTAGTGAAAACGACCTCGGGCCCAAACCTGGAGGGCGCAAACCTGGAAAATGACGGCCGCGGCGCCCTCTCGAGAACCGAAAACGGACACTTCACTAATCCACGTGTCAGGGTGGGGTTTCTGTCCACGCCCGACTGTAGAAGGACATGCCCGACTCAACAGTAGTCGCCGACGGCGGCCCAACCCGCTGGCCCTCCCTCGCCAGGC